TTTATAACTACAAAGTTACTCTTCAATCTTATGGGTCCATTTGTGCCTATGTAATGGCTGGAGATAGAAATCAAGACATTGTTCCATGTTATCCCCCCATTTACAGTGCATTCAGGTACTAGGTTAAGAACTGGGGTGTGACATAAAACATGATTTCTACCCCAGACTGCTTGCAGGCTAGTCAGAATTATGCAGAAATAATAAACTCCAGTAGTTATGTCCCTTGGTTAGGTACTAGGGTACTGTGTGCACACAGGTGAGGGGGTACCTAACCCAAATGTGGGAGCAGATGGAGTCAAGAAAGAGTTTCTGGAGTTGTAGATCCATGAAGTAAACCTAGCCAAACAGAAGTCATGATGAAAGAGAGAGAACAGAAACATGGTGTGTGGAGGCACCCACTGCAGTTTGCTCAGGGTTTCGGGGGCAGGGAAGGACACTGGAGGGGACCGACAGTGCCTCTGGACAGGTGTTCTGCAGCCAGATTATATTTTAGGTTCCTGTTTAAGAATTAGGATTCTTCCACCCTGTCAGATGTGGGAAGCAGTTGAGGATGTTTGTCAGGGAAGTGGCATGATGAAATTTGCATTTAGAAAGATCACTCTGGAGGTAGTGGTGGGCAGTGAGAAGTTTGGATGGGAAGAGTGGTAGACTGAAGGCTACCACTAGGGAACAGTTAGAGAATAAAGAGGTCAGACTGATTTTGTGGTAATATGATGGAAAGAAAGAGCATACCAAAGAAATCAAAGGACCCTAAGCTTCTGACTTGTTAAGTTACTGAATAAAGATGAGGAGCCCATCACTTTGGGTTTGAATCTGAGTTCTGAAGCTTGCTAGCTTGGGTGCCTGGGGCAAGATGCTTACCCTCACCTAGCTTAGTTTTCTCATTTTCAAAAAGGATATTAAAATATCTCATAGTTGTCGTGAAGATGAAGTGGATTAATTAGTTATCTAATCTGATTCATTGTGTTATCAGATGCCACCTCAGAGTAAATTCTCAAGAAATGATAGCTGTTTTATCTGTCATGAAACTTAACCATTCACCAGGAAAGCAATATGGTAGAATGAGTGCTAGAATCCGAGCTTCCCACCAGTAGGAATATTCCCTCCTTGTCTGTATTGCTTTCTCCTTGTGCCTGGAGCAGTGCCTGACACACAACACTCAGATAGTTGTTAAATGAATTAATGATTCAATTGAGAATCAATTTAGCTTTAGACTTTTAAATAATAGAAATTTGAAGGGTTTTAAAATGTAGTTGACCATTATTTGGCAGTTGGATATTTTGATCTGTAGTTCGGGAGGGATGTGTGCTGGAATTGGAAGTGCAGGGGGCATCTGAGTAAATGGTTGGCAAGTGAAGTGTGGAATGAGTTAGAACACAGCAGTGTGGTTGGCAGTGTCAGCTTCTTTGAGGTTTCTACCCTTTTAGAAATCTGATGAATAATATGGTCCTCTGCACAGAAAGGCACATAAGAAAAACAAATTTCCATCAAGTACCTGTGAGAGGAACTGTGCATTTGGGGTGAAGAACTTCTAGCATGCAGTAAGAAGTGGTCAAAGGGTGATAGAAGTTGAAGAAAGGAGTGAGCAAGGAACAAAAAAGATCAGGAAAGTCTGGTGTTATTTGAAGCTAAGAGCAAGAGTTTCCTGAAAGAGAGAATACCACAGAAAAGTCAAAGAAGATATAAATGTTTGGGCTGAGACTATATATAGTGCTTGCGTCGCATGCGCAAGACACTGGGTTCAATCCCCAGCACCACAAAAAAAAAAAAAAAGAGAGAGAGAGAGAGATTCATTGAATTTGGCTATTATTTGAAGGCCTTTGGTGATTTCGGTAAGATAAATATCATTTGAGTAGTTATGGGGAAAGGCAATTAGGATTCTGGAGATTGCATGATACATTGACAGAATTGTCAGGAAATTGGGACAACTAGAAGTACTTCTTTCCTTCATTTGTTTATTGAACAAATATTTCTTGAATACCTACTATGTCCCAAGTCCATCTTGCTGGAAGCAAAAACTGTATCCGAAGGAGGATACAGTTTCCTTTAGCTGACAATCATATAACATGTTTTTATCTTCCCACCTCTCCAACCCTCCAACCTATGCCTGTCTTTCCACTCCTAAGCACACATGTGTGCGTGTTCAGAGAGCGTGCCCTTAAATGAATTTCTCCTTGGTATATGCTGGGCACGTTTAGCCACCTAAAGATTCCAGTTGTTTTGCTTTTCTTTCTCTTGGGCACCTGGGAGCAAATTGTCCTCTCTGAATGCCAGTCATTAAAGTCAGGAACACACTCAAAATCTCATTGTCCAGTGCTCACTTGGGTTCTGTGTTTTAGGGAGTTTATAAAAATCATTTTACCATTTTTCACTTGAAGCTTGTATAGTCTCTTTCTTGAACTGTATAATATTGGTCCTAAGTGTGGGAATGCAGTGTGGATCTTGAGCCCAAGGAAACCCTTATCCTAGTTCTAGACTCTTCGCATGTAGGAATCTTTGATTTGTCTTTTTATTAAAAAAAAATTTCTCCTCGGGGCCTTGTCTCTTTCCAGGGTACTTGGAGATTGCATTCACACCTAGCAGTCAAGGTAGCTGGACTTTATTAAGGTTAGGAGTGTATGTGGTAGTGGTGATGCTATGTGGGGTACATCTGTCTTCTTGTTTCTGGGGGCTTTTTGCCAAGAGTAGTATAGTGGACCGGTGGATGCAGAGAATGGTATAACAGTGATTTACAGGTTTATTTCATGTATTAAATCTGAAAACACAATTTTCCCATAAATATGATTTGCATTTTTCCAGAAGTATATTGCTTTCAGCATACTTGGCTTCCAGTGAAACTTACCTAGCCATTTTCTACTTATTTGCTTTGTCTTTGAAAAGATTTAATTGTATTTTATCTCCTTCCAATTGGCTTTTCAGTTGCAAATTTCAAGAGCACTAAATATTCTGTCTTCCAGAGCATTTCTAAATAAGAACAGACTTAGTTCTGATCTACTTCTTTGTTTCTAATTTCCTTTGTAATACTTGAAAACAAGGTCATTCTATTTTTAAAAAATATTTATTTTTTAGTTGTAGTTGAAAATAGTATCTTTATTTCATTTACTTATTTTTTATGAGGTGCTGAGAATCGAACCCAGGGCCTCTCACATGCTAGGCAAGCACACACTGCTAAGTCACAACCCCAGCCCAAGCCCCTTCTTTTATATATATTTATATGTTTTGGATTATACTAAAGGTATACAGATATGTGTAAAATGCCAGAAGAGTGCCTGAATTCTTGTTGTAAATAGCTGATTGTGCTATCTACAGATTCTATAGATGGCTGTGTAGATCCTGTGTTCTTTTTGGAATTGTTTTTAAAATGATTATTAATAGGGGAGAACATGGTGATGTAGCATTGGAAAATTGCAAACTAATGGCATTATACAGGACATTTTGTTTGTTTGTTTGTTCATTTATTTAAATTTTCGTTTTTAGCTGTAAATGAATCTTTTACTTTATTTATTTATGTATTTATTTGTATGCAGTGCTGAGGATCAAACCCAGGGCCTCACACATGCTAGGCAAGTGCTCTACCACTGAGCCACAACTCCAACCCCTATACAGGACATTTTTAAAAACCTGATCTACATTGTGCCAAACAATTCTCATGGAGACAGTAACAACCTATTATTCTCAGTGATTGCTGATTTTAAATTTTTATTTCTTGTGTATTTATTTTAAAAATAAGAAGCTTAATTTTAGAATTAACTCTGATCTTTGGATAGTCTATTTGAGAAATTAACATAATAAATGTGGCAGAACTTAAATATGTCAATCCTTTAGGATGGAATCCTACCAGATTACTAAACAAAATTAGGGAATCTTAATGTTTATGAGACAAATGACAAAGTCATAAAATCATCAAACATTTACATAATGAGCATACATAAAGTAAGGAGATTATGAAATTTATATGCAGAAATTAAAGAGTCCTCCAACATCACTAAAGCAGGGCTTCTGGATTGAATTCCCTTTTTGATGCTTTTTTCATTATATCTTTTTAAAAAGAGAACTTTAAAGAAACTCCTGTGTTCAGTAAACATTCTCTTAAACCTCCTATTTATAGCGCTCTGTAGTAGTAACAGTATTTACAGTAGTGACACAGATGCCAGTATACATTTAAGAAAGGATTTATTCTTTTTCACCAGAGGCTGGAACACAGGTGAATCCCTGTTACCCGGAATTTTTAATGAAGCAGGAAGCCTTAAGCAGTCAAATTTATGGACACTTTCCCATACATCTGAAGTTTCTTAAGCGGTCCTATTTGTAGACACCATTTTCAGAATCCCCAGTTCTTATACAGTAGGGGGAAAAAAAAGCACTTTGCTGACCACCTCCCTGGAAGTTGAAGTCCTTTGCCTCCTTGGGCTGGTGTGGTTTTCTAGGACACACATGCTCTCTTGTGTATTTCCCTTAAGCCTTCACATAAGCGGTCATTAAACACCTTCTGCTTCACATTTGTCATTAAATCTACTCTATCTATTAAGTATACATCACTGAAAAAAAATTTTTTTGTTTCCTTTTTGTGATGCTAGGGATGGAACCCAGGGCTTGGTATGTGCTAGGCAAGCTCTCTACCACTGGGCCACACCCCTGGCCCTGGTGAAGATTAAAAAAAAAATTTTTGTTTCATTTTTTATGTATTATCATATATTCATTGTCGTAATCTCTTAAATCTGCATTAATTATAGTGACTTGATATGAATGCTTTCAGTGCAATATCATTAGTGTCCTCATCACATCCTTAAAATGTGCCAGCACATGGCTCCTGCCCCTCCCTCACTCTCCGCTTCCTTCCCCCTACACACACACACACACACACACACACACACACACACACACACACGAGCACACGCGTGCGCAAAGCAAAGTGCACACCAAACTGCCATTCTCCAGCAGGCCTGCTTCTGGAGTTGGGAGCTGTCAGCCTGCTGGGAAGGGTGGGGGGAGGAGGAAGAGGTGGGGCTCTGCTCTGATTAATTACCTTAGGCATTCAGGGGTGGGGCTTCCTTCAGCCATCTGCCTGAGATATGGGAGGGAGCTGGAGAAAGAAGGAGGGGGAGAGACTGCCAGAGAGGAAGAGAAAAGAAAGGAAGAAACATTAGGAAGAAAAAGGAAGGAAAACGGTGTAAAGGGGAGTCAATTACCCACCCTTAAATAGCCAGCTTGGGGGGGAGGGGGTGGCCAAGGAAGCTGAGGAGGTGTGCCCCAGCACGGCTGCTTTGAAAGCTTTATCATCTGTTCCCCTTGGTTTATGGAGAAAAAGAAAATGGTAACTCAGGTAAGATTTGTTCTTCCTCCGCATGTTTCTTTTCTCATCTGTGGGATCTGAGTAGAGCTTGGGGGTGGAGTATAACCAGCAGAGGTCTAATTATGATTGTCTTCTTAGGAAAGGCCGTATTTATTGTTATCAGCTGAAAAGCGCTGGTCTGTGTCTGAGTCCGTGTGTGTGTGTGTGTGTGTGTGTGTGTGTGTGTGTGTGTGTCTGTCTCTCTCTCTCTCTCTCTCTCTCTCTCTCTCTCTCTCTCTCTCTCGTAGCTTTTTTGTCCCCCTCCCTCAGCTCCATACCAGATTCCTCTTTCCTGTACTGTGCAGCTGTAGCTCAGGAAAGACCCTGTGGGGATTTGTCTACCTCTTTGTCTTGGTTCTGAGAAGAGGGAGGGAGAGAAAGACTGCAGAGGTAGGAAGAGATTCTTGTAGCCTGCCAAAAAGAGGGGAGAGGGAGTGACTTCCTTTTAAGAATTGCAGAAGAATTTGGGTTATAGGAAATCTGATTCCTGACTCACTTTGGTTCTCAGGATTGGCTTTGGAAAGGCAGTTTTGCTGCCTTTACTGTAAACAGCTTATTAAAAATGAAGGTTATAAAAAATGTTTCCTTTTTATGGCTTTATTACTGGCGAACAACGCATTCAGTGGGAACCCAGAGTCATTCCAGGTGTAGCAGAGGCAGGTAGAACTTACCCTGACAGAGCAAATCCAGATTTATAAATGACAGTCACCCCAGCTTTAAAAGACATTTGAAGGAGAGGGAGGAGGAAATGGAAGCTATGGCTCTCCTCTCTCTCCCTTTCTGCCTCTCTTGGTTATGCCACGCAGTGTCTACTCTGCATTTAGCAAGTCATTCCTGGCGAATGGAAAGGTGAGTGTTCTTCCATAGCCCCCTGGCAGGGCTGTTTTTCTTCCTGGCAACCTTCATATGCTTCTTTACCCTTTTTTCTTTATAGGTTGAGAGGGAATAAGGAGGCTGTGATTTGTTGGTAAGAAATCATTTACATGTTTAGAACATTCACATCCTCAGTCCAGGACTTAGCATCAGTTTCACTCCAGGCTTTTATGCTCCTGGGGAAATTTCATCACTGGACAGTGCTTTCCTTTTAAGGAGGTTGCCCTTTTTTGTATTCTCTCCTCTCTCTTCTCTCAGTCACCACCGGAGGGCGAGAGAGTCAGCTAGCTATCAGGATAGAAGCATCCTTTTAGGATTTGGAATCCTGTTCAGTTAAATGTTATATAATGCCCTGCAGTGCTGTTCAGAACGAGGGAACTATGGAGGAGATTTGCCCATCGTGACCCAGAGGGAAGGGAAGTTTCAAAGAATACATCCTTACAAAGTGATTTTTTACTTAGTCTGAATTTGGAGACCTTAAGGTGCCCTTTCTTTTGGAAAATGGAAAATCCCTTGAAATATTTCTCTTCTGCTGCTTATTCCCTCATTGTCAGTCTAATTAACTCTTGGTATATTGCCTTATTTTTTTTTTTTAATACCATAAAAGAGAAAGCCTCTTTCTGGATTCTCTTTGTTGCTTGGGACATGATACTTGTTTCGCCCTGGAGCCCTCATTCAATTTTCATTAACTGGCATTATTAGAGGGTTAACAGTTCTCTTCTTTCTCAGCTAAAAGCTGAAGGTCTTGTTCATGACCTGACTTTTTATTGCATGTACCATATTTTAAAATCAGTGAAAGAGTTATCTAAACTAGGAGTTTTCATAATTGGAGTTTTCTGTGGCCTCTTGGAACATTTGCCTTGCTTTCCAGAGGAGCTGGTAAGTGTGTGAGCCTAAGTTGGGATGCACCTTACCACTGCACGAATGTTTCGTGACACCATGGTCCTAGTCATTAGGATATCAGGGAACTATAATTTTAGGAATGAAGTAAAAGAAACAGATGGAAACTGGAAAGAGATTTCTTTCTGTGTTTAAGAATTCTAGGGCTGCAATTGTAGTCAAGGGTAGAGTGCTTGCCTTGCATGTGTGAGGCACCGTGTTCCATCCTAAGTGCTACATAAATAAATAGAATAAAGGTATTGTGTCCATCTACAATTAACAAATACTAAAAAAAAGAATTCTAATAGGTGAATTTAAATCATCATCCTGTTTTCTCGGGATGTGCTGAAGGAAAGAAGTAACTCATTTTTGTCTATCCTGAATTTATACAACTGGAAAAGACAGAATGTCAGATTTGTGATCTGCAGTCCTGCAGTGTATTTGCTTTGGCGTGTCCACTTTCAGTGTTAATGTACATGATTGTTAGTTATCTAGAAAACAAATGCAAAGGGAATAATCAGCTGAGCCAAATTTTTTCATCTCTCCTGTGGTTTTGATTCATTTTTTGTTTGTTGTGTTTTTTTGAACCAGGCATCCAATCCCAACCCTTAACAGTGACCTGTCATATAAGCTTTTTCAGTGTAAATTGTCTGCATTGGTTAGGGCTGGGACACCACAGTTAAATGGTTTAGTACAATATTTAGTATTTTGGCTAGTGTGTGAAGAAAGAGATAGAGGATGTGTTTTCATAATTTGCTATTTAGGCTCTTGGCATCTTCATGGCATACCCTGTCTGCCTACGCCTGATCGCTATCACTCAGTAGGTGGAAGAAGGGCTCTCAGTGGATGACATTTTGTTTTATTACGTATGTTCTAGTTTTATGTGACCTTTTGGGGTTTTAATTAGCAAACTTCTCTATCTTTTACGATAAGTAATTGATGCTTTCCTTTAAAAATGGCAATTGAATGACAAAAATTCTAATACAGGAGACAGACATGCTCATGTGACATTTTAAAGAATATCTCTTATTCATGTGTATGGTGCAGGAGATTTTCACTGAGTTCCTCTCTTAATTTGATTTACAGGCTAAAAAAATATTGCCACTTCTCACATCTATGAAAATAAAATATGGAGTAAAAGGAAAAAATCATTCTCATAATATGTGTAAAATTCAAGTTCCAAATGACTTCGCCTCTAGTTAGATTAAAAAAAAAAAAAGTTTAGCCGGACTCAGATTCAGTTACACTATTTATTGTTAAGAGGGAAAATGTATTAGAGAGGAAAAAATTTTACAGTAGGGACGTGAAAGCAAATTTTCGTGCTCTGCTGTGGTATGAGACTGCCAGCTTCTATGTAGCACAAAGCCCTCCCTTTCTTGGATAGCTCAGTGCTTTGCTGGCATTTTCTTCAAAATCTGTTTTCCATCAGAACCAAGAGGAGGGAAGGTGTTAAGAATAAGGGCGGTTGGAAAGGGGGTTGCTGTTCCTTTAAATAGTGCCGGGAGTCCATGTGGCAGCAGGCCGCTCTGGAGTGTATTCTTTTGTAATGAATCACCAGTTCCATTGTCTGCTATCTCCCCTCTTTGTAGCTGGAAGGCTGAAGTCTTTCACCTGAGCTGCTGCCAGTTCGCTCTCGGTTCCTGGGTGGTTGGGAGAAGAGAAGAGGGAGGAGGGTATTTTATCTTTAATTAAAGACAGATAAGAGAGCAGGTATGTTTGGCTTTGTTTCATTTTATCCTGTTCTTTCTGCATTTGTTTTTTGAAATGAGTTGGAATAGGGAATCTTGGCTATGATTTTGCAAAGTATATTCCATTTTCTATGAATTCTGGAAGTCCTTAGATTATTTGGTCTCCATTTTGTGGCCTTGCTCTAAAGTGATTCTGTTCCCTGGCCTGCCAGTCATGTTCCTTTCCACCCGAATCTCATCCCACCCTTCATCCATGGAGCTGAGCCCCACTATTTGTTTTGGCACACTTTCCACTTTACATGGGATGCACAGGATTCTGGGGAAGTTAGTGGGTAGGCGGGGATTATGGGTTGCAGACTAAATTTATGTTCCTTTACAATGAACAACAACAACAACAAAGCTTCACTTTTTCCAATAATTTGGTTTCTTTCTGAATTCTGCTGTGTTGTCCCATATTTTCATTTATAACCATTTCCTTGCCAAGGCCAAAGCTGGCTTGAAAAGTACTGCTATTCTAAAAAGTACTTAGCTTTCCTGAAAAGATAACCCAGAATTCCATAAATGGAGCTGTAATTATATCTGAACAATTTTGATTAAATTTTTTGTCTACCATCCCCCTTCTTTGCCCCTTCCCTCTACAATTTTTCATTTTTATCTTTCTGCTTGGTTTTGCAGTTGATACTAGGTAAGCTTAGTGTTTGACAACCTACTATTGAAGTTTGTATTGCTACAGAAGACACCATCATGTTGAAAGGTAATGAATGGCCTTCCTCAAGCCTCATAGTAACTGACATTCCTGGTTTTGTTCTTCTAGTTTTCTGTTCTTCCCTGAAAAATTCCAGATTCACAGTCTACATAGATGGCCATTTGGGAACAATTTCATCTGGCTTTTCACTTTTGGAAGTGAATGGAATGTTTCAACTTGTTATCATGTCATGCCTTATCTCAGGTTGTTTGTGGATGCCTGATTGTGATAGACTAGTGTCAATAGAAGCCAGCCATATTGATAATACAGCCCCCACCCCTTCCCACCCAGGCCACTCTGGGATCTGACATTTGTTGGTATCCTGAGTACTCCCCTGTGAGTTGTGATTCCTCACTCTACTTTGTTTCCAGCATTCCAAAATTACTATTAATTCTTTCTTGCACACTTCTTCACTGAAGGGTCGCATGTGTACTCAACCAGGCACAGTGGAACCTTCCCTCCAGAAAGGCCTTGCCTTTTGGAGGTTGTACTTCTGTACTGGGCTCCAGTGCGCCTCTTCTAGGCAGTCAGAGTGCTGCTGCACTTGGCCATTCTGAGGTATTGTTTCCATTTTCCAAACTCTTAAATGTTCCTCTGTACACTATTAGAATGATTAAATTCAGAAAACCTTGGAGTCAAATAGTTCTTTAGGAGTCATTGCCAGAGTGACTCACTTAAAATGCTAGTCTTGATTTTTGTCAGTATTGTGCTTAAACCTCAACAATTGTTTCCCTTCAGAGTCAAAATAAAATCCTGTGTCCTTACAAGGTCTCTAAGGCCCTGCATGATCAGGAACCTGGCTGGCT